AATATATATATAGTTAATATTCCTTGACTTTAGAATTATTAAAATGGACTTCACAAAAGTGTCTATTTTAATGAGCTCATTTGATATCCGTTGGCTTTTATTTCACAAATATTGACCAGGTTGGGCTTTTAAAATACACACATATTCAAGTTTTCATGTTTTTCTACAGTTTTTAAAAAATTTTTCCCAATTAAAAAAATCTGTATTTTCTTATTACAAACTGTAATGGTCATAGTGGAACCTCCCCTTCCCCCAGATCTCCTCCTGAAGTTTCTGGACCCTGGGTCTCATTTGACATTCAAGAAAGGGTTTTAGCTGAGTCATGTACAAGAACATAGACTATTTATTCCTTCAAAAAAAAGTGTTCTGGCATTTGAGAGTAATGCATCTTGTGTTTTATCCGGTATGTTTTTAAAACACAGAGAAGATGATTCTCAGCACCTTCTGCACGGGCCTGGATGTTGCCGGTGTGTCTGTCTCGTTATATCAGCCCTATTTAAATTTGGTTTCTGGGAATCTTTGGAAACAGAGCTTTCATTTGGAAAGACAGAAAATGAGAAGGAAAGACAAGAAAAGAAACATTGCCCCACATTTAAGCATGTGAAAGGAAAAGTCTTCTGCAAACGAGTATTTCTGTTATGTGCTAATCAATCGGAATATCTTGAAAGGTAGTTGTAGAATCTAATACCTGGGAAAAGCATATGAAACCAGCCTCTGCATTAAGGAGTGCGCCCAGCAAGCCCGTGGGTGGTCTTCTGGGCACACGGGTGAGGCGGAGAGAGCGGAAACTGCCCTAAGCCTGGACCTCCCTCTTCTGACCCCGGCGCAGGGCAGGGCACGCTGTTGCACGCGGAGAAATAGCTGTCCCCCAGCCCCTGAGTCCTCCTCTGCACTGCCTCGGGCACCCTCCTGGGGACCCTCGTCCTGGGACCCCGGCAGCCTCCCCAGACAAATAAAGGAGCATTACCTGGCATGGCGAGGATGTGCCCTGCCTGTGGCCAACATCCTTTTCGTCTGGACCATAAGGTGCCATGTGGGCTGTGAAATATTTGATTGTCATCCTTGCCAAACGCCTCCATCCCATCCTACTGACAGTCAGACATTTGAGTAGAGAAGAGAACATTTCTGTCCGTGAGGAGCTCTCTTCTTTGCCCCTCTTGGGTTGCGCCCCCTCCCAGCTAGCAGCTGCTTGGGGAAGGGTAAAGGCCACGGGCAGGAGATGTGTTGTAGGCAGAGGCCCGCCCTGTTCTGGAATTCCTGGCGGCGGCAGCTTGAGAAAGCGGAAGGCTTTGCTGCCACCTGCTTCCAGGATGGCGTTTAGCAGCCAGACAGCTGCGGGATTCTAGGGGATCCAGGCCAGGGATGCAGGCCTGCTTTGCACTTGGCCTTCTCCTGCGGGGCACAGCAGCCTCAGTCCAGGCTGACACAGGGACCAAGGCCTTGTCAGGTGCTGCCGTGGGTCAAGAAGCCTGTCTTCACTCTCTGTTGCCTGCCTTTTCCAGTTCTTCTGACCAAAACACAGTCGGAGCCTTCCCTGAGCTGCCGAGGTACAGTGAGCCCAGCGCTGCCCCGCCAGCTGCACCTTGCATGGCTCTGGGCTAGGACGATGCACGGGGTGACCTGAGGGGATGCAGGGCAGCACCTCTGGGGGCGTCTGGCCAGGCTGAACTGAGGTTGTGGCTTGGTTTCTTGACTCGCTGGTTGACTAAGAGAAGAACGTCCCTTGGGCAAGGGTTCGTTGTGTGGTTCTGATTGGTGAGCGGTGAGGGAGCTGTTTGTAGAAAACGGCCCTTTATGAGCACAGAACTTCAGGGCAGAGCAGAAGTGGTCCATGCAGGAGAGGCCCGTGCCCTTCTCACCTGTGCTTACCTGCCCTCAGGGTCCATCCTGCCTGCTGCAGAATCTGGGGCAGTGTGGATTGTGAAATCTGACCTTTTCTGTCATAGAAAAGTATGTAAATGACTGGTCCAAATTTTGCATTCATTTCTTATGAATTATTTATATATATATATGTATGTATTATGTATAATACATACATACACATGCATGCACATATGTACATAGGCGTGTATGCACACACATTTGTATTGGGACTTATATAAATCTTTTGGACTACACACACACACATAACACACACACACACTCCAAGAGAGTCATTAAACTCCCAATGAGTGTTTGGATTTTATAGAAATTTCTGTCCATGTTCGGTAAAGTGTTTAACATTAGACTTTGTTTCAAAGAGAAAAAATGCAGAAAATCTGGGCTTTGTTCTGGAGCCACAGACCAGGTGTCGTGTCTGACAGTGGTCTCCCTTCACATTCCTCACCTGTTACCTCCTCCGTCATACGGGGCGGATGGATGCTACAAAGAGAGGGACTCTCTTTTAAGAAGCACCACAGACACTTCTCCAAAGAAGACATACAGATGGCCAACAGGCACATGAAAAGATGCTCAGTATCACTAATTAGTAGAGAGGTGCCAATCAACACTATGATGAGGTATCACCTCACACCAGACAGAATGGTCATCATTAAAAAGTCTGCAAATAACAGCAAATGCTGGAGAGGATGTGGAGAAAAGGGAACCCTCTTACACTATTGGTGGGATTGGTGCAGCCACTATGGAGAACAGTATGGGGGGTCCTTTAAAAAGCTAAAAATAGAATTACCATATGATCCAGCAATCCCACTCCTAGGCATATATCTGGAGAAAACTCTACTTTGAGAAGATACATGCACCCCTATGTTCATAGCAGCACTATTTGCAACAGCTAAGACACAGAAGCAACCTAAGTGTCCATTGACAGACGAATGGGTAAAGATGAGGTACATATATACAAAGGAATATTACTCAGTCATAAAAAAGAATGAAATAATGCCATTTGTAGGAACATGGATGGACCTAGAGATTATCATACTAAGTGAAGTAAGTCAAAGACAAATACCATGTGATATATCACTTATATGTGGAATCTAAAAAAAAATGATACAAATGAACTTACTTACAAAACAGAAACAGACTCACAGACATAGAAAACAAACTCAAGGTTACCAAAGGGGAAGGGTGGAGGGGATAAATTAGGAGTTTGGGACTAACAGATACACATACTACTATATATAAAATAGATGACCTGTTGTGTAGCACAGGGAACTATACTCAATATCTTGTAATAACCTATAATGGAAAAGAATCTGAAAAAGAATATATCACTCTATATATCTGTATCCAGCAATCAATCTAGCTAGCTAGCTAACTGAAACTAACACAACGTTTTAAATCAGCTATACTCCAATTAAAACAAGAAGCACCATGAATAGATAGTTGGTTTGAGCAGAAAACTCATATATATGAAGGCTTGATCAGTTCTGAGTGATCTGATCTGGGGATATTGTAAGGCTGAGGGCAGCGGGGAAGGTGAATCAGAGCTCTTTTGACTGTTCTTTTACGACCCCCATGATGGGGATGGTCACTTACAAACGTGCACGTTTCCCTGCGATGCAGACCCAGTTTCCCCTCTTGCATGTACAAGCTTGGTGACCCTGATCTGGCCCCCGACGGCTTGCTCCGTTTCTGCATCCGGAAAAGTGGACGTTTTCAATGAGCCAGTCCTCAAGGGCCCCTGCAGCGTCCTCCATCCGTCCACACCCCTCAGCTCATCCGTATCACCTTCCAGATCACTTTGAAACTTCCAAACGGATGAGACACAACCTCCCCTGTGTTTTTATTCATATCTAAGTCGTAGTAAATGAGAGTAAATTGAAACAAAATAAACTCCACGCTCAAATTGCCATCCGCTTAGAATCACGGCTTCTAGGTCTTAACTGGCGTATTTTCTCCTGGCCTGGCTGCGACCCAGGCGGGGCACCTTGGGGGTCTTGGCTGATGGGAACACGGTCAGGAAAACCAAGCCATCTTGCCCTGCCCTGCAGCCCACCCTTCCGCAGTGCCTGCCAGTCTCAAACCTCACGGAAGGCCCCATCAGTCCAGAATCTCCGAGCCTCGCCTTTGAGATTAGACCGTCTGGTTGGGGCCCAGCTCAGAGCCGGGCAGCTGTGGGCTGTGGCCTCTCAGTCCCCTTGGGGCGGCTCTGTGCCCCGAGCCCGAGCCTCAGTCCTGGGGCTGGTGACCAGCCCCTCCCCCTGTCCAGGAAGAGAAACGAGAGGCTGAGTCTCTGATCCAGTCTCACCGTGGTGTGGCTGGCACAACAGCCTGTGTGCCTGTGATGTGTTCTCGCTCCCTCATCTCTCAGGCACTGTCATATCCTGCACTTGCTACATCTGTGTCACATAGCAGTCAATTCTAGAAACATCAGAGGCACAGACACACATGTCGGTGCATACTTCTGTCCCCATAGAGCTTTACTCTGTGTACGGAATATTTTGCTACAGGCTCTGGGCCTAACAGAGGGTTTTGGTGCAGTTAGCTGTGAACCCTCCGTGCACGCGTGTTTCCGGGGGGGCGCATGTCTCACCACTGAAGCCGGTCCCCTCGCTGGTTTGGATGTCATGTGATGTGGGGACCGCTGATTGGCCTGGCTGAGCCACCTGCATGAAGCTGAGAGGCCTGGTTCCTGGGACTAAAACCGGAGCCTTTGCCACTGACAGAATGCGGGGATTCAGGGGCTTGGTCTTTGCTTCACTGGGAGGACAGTATCATGTTAATGCATGTCACAACGGCTCCGACTTCCGCGTCTGCCTTCTCGAGTTGGAATATGAAACTCTTGGTTAGCAGATGAGCAGCCCACCGATATTTACCTGGTTTGGGTTGGTATCTTGGTGGCAGAGTTTGTAAACTCCAGTCCACATTTTTCCACCAGTGGTTTGGTGGTCCAGCAGTTGGCAGCGGTGTGGGGAAATTAATTTTTCAGTCCTTCAGCAACACCTCAGCATCTTTTCTTCTGGCCGTATCTGTGTGCCTTGGAAGACAAGAACAGGATGAGTGGATGACAAAGGCCTGGAGTGGCCATCGGGGTGTCATCGATCAATGAATAACGGTCACAATGGTTGTGGTGGCACTGAGGGTGCCAGGCTTGGTCATCTGAGTCATCTTCAATCTGCAGATGGGGAAACTGAGGCCCAGTAGGCCCCCACGACGGCGTCCTCAAGCTCTACTCTGCTGGCTCTCAAGTGTGGTCCCCACCGCTTAAGCATCCCAGGGTGGGGGGTGCTTGTTGAGTGAGGAATGCTGGGCCCCATGCCCAGAGTCTCGCATGTGGGCGTCTGGTGCGGCCCGAGGTCCCAGGGATGCCGCTGCCCCCAGTTCTGCCTTGCCCTGGAGACCGTGGCCCTGGCTGCGTCGTCACCATCCCGACTGGCCTGGGCTTTGGTGCCCCATCGGGAACTCCAGAGCATCCTTTCTAGCCCGAAAATCCCGCTGAAGAAAACTCCCGGAAATGGAGAAGATTGAGGAGTTAGAAGTCAAGAATAAAAAAAAAACAACAGAAGAAAAAACAGGTCCCCTAGAGAATGTAATGAAAAAGGAAAACATCCTGTTTGAGGTAGAGGAAGAAAAATCTGGGGACATGGGTCATGGAGGAGCTGACTTGGTTATTTCAGATGTCCCCTGGGTAAACCATCACTGTTACTCCACGTTCTGGAAAGGAGTGGGCTCCTCAAGCCAGGAAGCTGTTGATGTAGTTTATTTAGTTTGCGTTTTTACCGCCACCCTCATAATTCTTAAAGCAGATGTTTAGCACAGATGTCGCAGTCCCGAGAGCCGTGCTGTCTGGTCTGATGGTCACAAACCAGGCATGGCCGTCAGGCACGAGGCATGCGGCCGGTGCAAGCTGAGATGTGCCGTGATGTGCACAGTGCATTTTGAAGGCTTAGTACCAAAACGAATGTAAAACACCTCATTAATAATTTTATATGGATTATGTGATGGAATACTAATATTCTAGATCTATTGGGTTAAATAAAACATTATTAAAATCAATTTCACCTGGTTCTTTTTGGTGCAGCTGTTGGAAAATGCAAAATTACGTATGTAGTCCCTTTATTTTTTGTTGCACAATACTGCCCTAGAACTTCTGGATTTATTCGGGGTTTTTTTGTTTTGTTTTGTTTTGTTTTTACAATACTAAAGATTATAAGAACCTTTAGAGATTTCCTAAACCCAACTGGAGGCTCTGGGTGGCTCAGAACGCTTTGAGAGAAATAGTTTTGCTCTCTTATAAGAACTAAAGTTTAAGACTAGAGTAGAAAAAATCATTTGTTGATATTTTTAAAGTACTTAATCTAATGTTTCATATGCTGAAAAATAACTTAGTACTTTTTTTTTTTTCCCCAGAAACCTTTAGAAAATCATCACTTGGCAACGGTGAGACAGATAAAGAGAAGAAAAAAATTCTGGGATTTTTCAAAGTTAATAAAAGAAGCGATAGTAAGGTAATTGATTCAGTATCAAATATCAATCAAATTGACATATGATTCTGCATTCTGTACAGACAGTTTCTTGAGATGTTTGTCCTCAGCCTCTCTTGGAATTTGTCTAAATACACGTAGGAGTCCTCACTCCTTCAGGGAGTAGGGTGCGTGTCGTGTCAGTATGCACAAGTGCCTCTCATATCCCACACTTGGTTCCTAAAACAGTGGTCTTGGGTGATGGTGTTTAATTCACCAGCAGAACACGAAACCATGCACCCTCTCTGCTGGTACCTGCACAGTCCTGGAAGGAGGTTGAAGCTCAGTAAACAGCCTCTGGATGGATGGATAAGTGAATGCATGGTACGGTTAAGTTTATATAAATACCCAATATCCCGACAAATGAAGCAAATCTTCAGAACTTGTACAACCTGGTGCAGCTTCAAGGAGCTGCCCAGGGGCTGCTTTGTGGAGAAGAACATGAGCTGTTGAGTGGGTCCATCTGCCAGTAAATTTTAGATGTTCCCTGCTCCTCCCCATATGATTTGGGAACATGCTGAATAAGTTAATTTTATTGATCTGGTTGGTCTTAGTTAATAAATCCTAAAACCGTAATTTGGGTACAGTGTTATAAAGTCATAGTACAGAGAGTAAAAATGAACACATTTAAAATCATCTTTGAACCCTCAAGCTATACAGGCCTTCTAACTACCAAGAAAGGAAAATGCTTGTGATCTCTATTGTGTTGGTTTAAAAAGGTTTATTTTGCTGGGTCAAGTATTTTCTCTTAACTAGTAGATGGCACTAAAAAAGACAGAACCATTGTGGGGAACGTTAGTCTTTAATCCGCCAGCCGGGTTTGGAAGCGTCCGCCGTCCACGGAGCGGTAGAAGAGGCGTGAGTAGGGTGGACGCACGTTGGTCCAGAGCCCTCCCTGCCCATTGCATGGCCCTTGCATCTGTGCACCAGCCTGCACGTGTCCTGACCTTCCGGAGCCCACGGGGTCAGAATTACCATCCACCCCGTGTTCCTGATGAGGACGCTGGGGCCCAAAGAAATAAACTTGCCCAGGGTCCTGGGGTTAGATCCCGGGTCAACTTGTGGTTCGGAGGTGAGAGGTCAGTGAGAACGCTGGGTGGAAGCTGGCAGCCCAGAGAGAAGTCGCCACCTGAACTAGTGAGGGGTCCCTGTCCTCAGGAGACTCTGCCAAACTCCAGTGCATTGCTCCTGACCACCTGATGCTTTGATTGTGGATTCTTGATCCTCTGTCTTATTACTGATTGTGTGCGTTTCCCCCTGCTTCCATGTGTCCTTTGAAAATCTCTGCTCCGTGTGTGTCTCTACTTAAGATCTTCTGTGCCCTCACCCCACCATCCTGTCCCCCTCCTCTTCCCTCCTCCCCCATTCTTTCCTTTCCTGCCAGAATTCCTTGAAATTACAGATTCAGTTTCACATTTGAATTTCCCTTCACTCTATTAATGTTGGGTTTCTGGTTCCTGTCATCTTTTTAAAAATATTTTATTGAAGTAGAGTTGATTTACAGTGCTGTGTTAATTTCTGCTGTACAGCAAAGTGACTCAGTTATATATACATATATTCTGTTTCATATTCTTTCCCATTATGGTTTATCACAGGATATTGAATATAGTTCCCTGTGCTGTACAGTAGGACCTTGTTATTTATCCATCCTATATAATATAGTTTGCATCTGCTAATCCCAAACTCCGACTGCATCCTTCCCCCACCCCTTGGCAACCACAAGTCTGTTCTCTATGTCTGTGAGGCTGTTTCTGTTTCATAGATAGGTTGGTTTGTATCATACTTCAGATGCCACGTATAAGCGATATCATATGATATTTGTCTCTGTCTGACTTACTTCACTTAGTATGATAATCTCTAGGTCCATCCATGTTGCTGCAAATGGCATGCTTTTATTCTTTTTAATGGCGGGGTAATATGCTTCCTGACATTTGAGGTCAGTTTGCTGGGACTGCAGGCACCGCTGGCCTCTTTGGTTCTCACTATTCTAATTCACAGAAAATCTACCCTTTCCTCACACCAAGATCTCCAGAGCCCGTCTTCTTGTATCTTCCTGCTTTTGAGACACGACACTGCCAGCGCAGTCAGTAGGAAATCTAGAAATGCCTTTGTTTCAAGCAGCATAAGAGCCGAGTGCATGTGATGGTCTAGCAGAGCATTCTCCAGGAGAGTCTGAAACACCTGTGAAAACGCCACAGATGGTGAGGAAGCCTGGTCTGGGGGTCCCAGCGGCCTTCCCTCCGCCCCACCCCATCTTTCTTCGGTCTTAGACTGGCTAGAAGCGTTTTTCCTTTCTCATACACCTCATCTTTCCCTCTCATTTATTTTATTTTATTTTGCCCTCAACTGCCCTTCTACAGTCGTAACCTTCCTGGATTATTTGTTGTTTGGGGCATTAACCTTTTCCTTCCTTGTTTCTCTCTGTTTTTATTGTTGGAGGTGCTGTGCTAAACGCACCCTCCTTTCATCTTCTATAAACCTGGCGAGAGAGGCCTTATCAACCCCATTTTACAGGTGGAGAAGCCCAGGCTGCACATTCTGAGCAAATCCCAGGGCTAGTGTTGCCAGAATTCAGACCCGCCTGTCTTTCCGGAGCCGTGGCTCTCACCGTCCACACGCTGTACGCTGCCTGGCAAGCCTGGGTCTCAGGTTTTCTTCATTAATAGCAGGAGGGTTTGGAGTGAATTATTTCTTTTATTTTTAAAATTTTTATAAATTTATTTATTTGTTTTTGGCTGCGTTGGGTCTTTGTTGCTGCATGCAACAGCAAACATAGGCTTTCTCCAGCTGCGGCGAGCGGGGGCTACTCTTCGTTGCGGTGCGTGGGCTTCTCACTGTGGTGGCTTCTCTTGTTGCGGAGCACGGGCTCTAGGCGCGCGGGCGTCAGTAGTTGTGACACGCAGACTCAGTAGTTGTGGCTCGTGGGCTTAGTTGCTCCGTGGCATGTGGGATCATCCCAGACCAGGGCTCAAACCCATGTCCCCTGCATTGGCAGGTGGATTCCTTCCCTGGCAGGCCACCAGGGAAGTCCTGAGTCAATCATTTTTTAAATGATTTCTAAAATCCTGTGATGCCAGATAGTCTACACATGTCTGAGAGCAAAATACTAAGAATGGAGACATTTAAAGTTAAAGTGAGTCTTTATTATCTACTTAAAGGAAAAAACATGCATATGTGTGTGTGAAATCTCAATAGAGAATACGCTTAAAAAGATATCATTTTGGCTGAAGTCAATGAAGGAAAGTATCCTTCCTTGTTTTAAAACTGTGGTATTTTAATGTTCTTTCAACGTGATAACTTTGTTTCATTTTGACATTATTTATTCTCCTAACCAAGTAGTTCTGAAAATACCTTAGAATCACCTTAGGATCTAGTGTAACAATTGGATTCTTGGGTCACATCCCCAAAGATCCTCATTTGGGAGGGCAGGGTGTGGCCCAGAGCTGTATTTTCCAGGGCACCTGGTGGTTCTCTGTCTGGAGGTCACCACACCGTCAAGGGAAACCTTCTTTTAAACCATGAAGTGAGACGTCATTATTGATCACCTTTTATGGATAGGGAGTGAAGTACTTGGTGAGTTATTTTGATGTGTATCCAGTCGATCAGCAATGCAGTGGTAAACTGAATTTAAAACGTAGAAATCCTCAAAACCTACTGAATTAATTGGTTTTTGGAGCTAATTGATCAGCTCAGACCCACTGCTGTTTTCATATTGCATCTCTTCTAAGCAAAAGAGATGCTCTGGGGAAAAAGACAAAATGGAAACTCACACTCCATGAGTCATGAATTTCAAAACTGTGGTTGTCAGATCTGTGAGCACTGCTTAGGGACTATTTTAGAACAGCTTTCAGGTTCCTAAGAATCGTGGCCGTGGATTACAGCTGTTTATGCAGATGCTGCTGCCCTGAGGGACGGCCAGGCTGGCGTGGTTTGCTTTAATAATTGCTGAGGACAACTGTTCTGTGTGATGCTGCTGTCACCTGGAGATGACGGGGGTCCTGCTTCTGTTCCAGGCAGAGCAGCTCAGGCAGCCGGGGGCAGACAGCGATGAGGATGCCTCCAAGTCCGCACTGGGAAGGGGCTCGAACGTGAGTACTAACACCGCAGGGGCTTCGCGCTAACCTCGTGGGGCTTCTGGCAGCTTTGCACCACCTTCCGGGAAATGAAATTATAGATTAGTTTAGTTGTTTTTTGTTCTGTGGGTTTTTATAAACTAGGTAGTTGCACAAAGCGTCATGTGGCTTCCTTTTTAGTTGCCCGTGGCGCATTCAGAAGATGAGGAATGTGTTACTTTCCGAATGTGTTAGTTTCCAGTTCTCCAGCCCCCGCCGGCGTGATCGGGAGGGCCCTTCATTAGCGTAACTGAGTTACACCGTCTGAAACCACTTCCCTGCATTCTCAGGAGCAGCTGATGGTTTTGGAGCCGCACAGCCTGTTTCCTAAATTCTGCAGCCCTACGTTGAAAGAATTTTTTAAAACTTTCTGTGCCCTCGCATTTCAAAGCTGGCATACAAAAAGCTTCTTCATAATTTTAAATACTTGAAGGAAAATATTTCATAGCATCTTATAAATACTGACTTTTTAAATGTATCTAATAAAGTTTGATACAATCACTTTAAAAATCACATAGATACATAGACAAACTCTTCTATAACAATAAAGCATGTTGCATTATTCTTCTTTTTTCTTGACTTCACATTTCCGCACTGGTCCCATGTAAAATTGTATTCTATTCAATATATATTTTGTTTTTAAAATTCTGTTTTAACTAGTTGAAATGAAATGTGATACAAAACAAGAATGTCTATCTAAATTAGGTTTTTAAATTTCATGTGATCATAAAACTGTGGGTAGGAAAATACTCTTCTAGATTGAGTTCTTATTACAATTGCAAATAAATATAAACAATATAAATATATTAACAACTGCTGATACATAATTGTTAAGCGTGAAAAGGAAATCTTTCTTGAAAAGATGTCTTTTAATAAGATGAAAGGTAATTTTTAAATGTATTCCATATACCCATGAATGAACATAATTTATGGATAAAACCAGAAAAGCTTCAACATAAATTGTGTGACTCTTTCTGTTTTTATTGGTTTAAACCCTGAGGAAATATTTTGCATAAATAAGTACAAGAGGATGAAAAAGATTACTGCTATAACAGTGCCTTTCAATTCTTTGAAGTCCTTCTGGTCAATCACATAGTGATCTATTATCAAATATTACTTTGATTGATCTTTTATCTGTACCTGACTAGGTTCTCGTTTAATTGGTCAATAGCCAAGATTTGGAAGCCATTTGACTTGCCAGGGGGGTTGTTACTCAATCACACGAAAGTTATTGACTTCTGGGAGGTATAAGAAAAACACTTTATCAAGATTTCTCAGATAATAATTACACTCATTACTCAGAGGCACTTTGTCTTTTTTAAAAATAATGTTTGAAGACATCTCTCCCAAAGGAACAAATACAGTAGAAATCCAATAATATATGTTGTGAAAAAAATTTTTTATTCATAAAGTATAATATACGTATAAAGAAGTATTATCATTAAGTGTGATATAGTTTCTGAAATTGTATAAATTGTCTCTAGATACTTAAAGTAAATCAAAATGAGCAATTTGACATCATAACTCTTCTTTTCATTCATGTTATATTTTTCAGAAGTCTCAAGTTAGAATTACATGTGTCCCAGCTACTGATTTTACTAACATGTTTATGTGAGCTAAGGGATAGCAAAGCTGACCATTTTTAAAAATTGAGATATAATCAACATACAACATTGTATTAGTTTTAGACATACAACATAATGATTTGATGTATGTATATATTGCAAAAGGATTACCACAATTAAGTTTAGTTAGCATCCATCCACCCAAAAAAAAAAAGTGTGACTGTGTGTGCTGATGGATGTCACAGGCACTTTCTAAACCTAATATATCATCAGTAAGTTTTGAGGAAAATGACATATTGTCAGTTTTCACTGAGGAAATTGACATATTGTCAGTTTTCACTCACTTTTGCCAAAATAGTATTTCTTAGTGAATGTTAAAAATCTCATCCCAGGGCTTCCCTGGTGGCGCAGTGGTTGAGAGTCCGCCTGCCGATGCAGGGGACATGGGTTCGTGCCCCGGTCCGGGAAGATCCCACAGGCCGCGGAGCGGCTGGGCCCGTGAGCCGTGGCCGCTGAGCCTGCGCGTCCGGAGCCTATGCTCCGCTATCGGAGAGGCCACAACAGTGAGAGGCCCGCGTAATTCAAAAAAAAAAAAAAAAAAAAATCTCATCCCAAACTTTAAGTCTATTTTTGTCAGGATCTTAGGTTTATAGATTTAGCCCATTCGATTTATGGAGAATGTCTGCCATATAAATTAATAAGCAAAATGGGCCCTTATTGTCCAATCAAAAAGCCAAATCACATTTACTTTTGGTTGAAAAAAAAAAGTCAAGTCATATTTTTAATTTGAGTAAGTGTGTTAATATGTATCCTCCTGACAATTATCAACCTCAGTTCTGAATCTAAAGGTAGCAAGTGTGGATTCTCAGTTTCTCATCCATCACTTTAAAAACACAGGAGTTTAATGCCCTGGACTTGATGCTGTTTTCCCTTTTGATTCCCATATTTTAATGCTCTTTGAAAATCAGCTCTCAACTTTCCTGACAACCAAATCTTGCTGGTTTCCAATAAGAAGGATTTAACTCGTGGTGGGAACTCAGGCCGGGCTGGAGCCTGGGGTGACCGCAGCTCGTCCATAGAAACGCATGTGACCAGTATTCTCATCTGACCCCAAATTAACCTGAGTACAATTACATAATGAGAAGGTCTCTTCTTCAGCTGTATAATCTTCAGCAAGTCTTTCCTTACCATAACCACATCAGCAATGCTGCTTCTTTGCTATAAAACAGACTTAAATCCACTGAGAATGGTTTAAAATGTCCGTGGACTCAATTAGTCTATAAGGCTTATCTTTCGTCAGCCTCAATTTTGGCCACAGATTGTTGGAAAATGTCTTCTAATATTTCACACACTCTGCCAGCAAACTTTGTGTCTGAGTAGAGGATCTGTTCAACTACCCTGAAGGGCTTGACCCCTCACGCCTCTTTGGTTATTACAACATGCCAGGAGTTATTACTTTTTCTACAGCAATGGATGGTAGCATAAGTTTTGCAGTGGGCATTGCTAATTTGTGTGAGATTTTTTTCTTACAAATGCAGCCTAAGAACACATTCATGACATGATAGATAGATAGATAGATAGATAGATAGATAGATAGGTAAACCTAGGCCAAAAGTCCATAGGAAATATCCAAAGCATTTATGAGGAAAATCATAAAATTCTACAAATACACAGAAAAGTAGAGTTGTGCAAATGGAAAGACGGGCCATATTCTTAGACATGAAGACTCCACATCATTATGTCATCAGGTTTATTGTAGAGCTAAGTGAACTGATTACACAGAGCAGTTTAAGGGAAGCAGGAAAATCATTGAATACAGATATGGAGTGGTTTCTAGGAGGTTTGTTTGTTTTTTTCATTTTTTAAAAGCACGTGTGACTTTTACTAGAAATCAAAGTCAATCAAGGAATCTGCAGTGTGGTAGATTAACCATTCACCTGGAAATAAAAGTTTACTGGGTTTGAAGGCCTAGGGCAGGATAGCACTTAATAAAATAATGCTGGCCAAAGAGGACGATGCCCACAGCTGCCACTACCTGCCTGCCTGTGCCAGGCCCATGCTTAGTTCAATTATCTCATTTCATCCTCCCCACATCGTTGGTGCAGCCTTCCTTACACAGACGCAGAAATTCCCAGCTTCCGGAGGCCAAGTGGCTGCTCAAATCCGTTGATGTCTGCTCATGTTTCCCAGTGTTTTATGTTCATGTTTATATTTCTTCATGTCTGTGATGTCTGATCTATGTTTGAGATTATGCTTTCTTTTATCAAGCAAGTTGGTGATGTAACATTTCTTAAGAGCGCTGCTCCTGTTTTTATAAATTTCCCCAAGCCCTTGACTCCTAGCTGAGTGCAGGCATCTGCCCTTGGGGTGTAGAGCTGAGCTTTTATTCCCAGGCAGCAGAGGGGGCCTCTCTGTCTCCCCTTTCTTCATCTGTATGACGGGCATCACGCCATCCACCCTGCAGCACCGTTGTAAGGATTAGCAATTGTAGAGCTCGGCTAATAACTTTAGGAAGCATTCTGAAATGGTGAGTAAACTGGATCAGAGCTTCATTAGAAACTTTCCAGATAGTATTGTTATTTTTCCTTGAGAAAATGCAACTAGTTTCTTATATTTGTAACCTGAAGAGTCGGAAGAGAATAGATCCGCATTTAAAAAAAATTATCCTAAGGTATGTAGGTAGTCAGATAGTAGTCAGATCTTTCCTGGAAAGATTACTTTTATGTAAACTAACGTTTAGTCTATTCCAAGATACATTTTCATTTTCTTAATCAAAGGACCCTTGAATCAGAGTGAATATAAACACCTCACGAATAATTTCAAGCGGTTTTCCTGGAATTTGGCATTTTCCGGGAAACTGTCCCTTCTCTGAGCATGTGTGACATCCTACAGATCTGGACCCTGAGACACATGGAGGGAACGTGGTCAGGGTCCACAGGATGTGATTGGCAGCGAGGTGGGAATGGTCCTCAGGCCTCCGTCTCCATCCTCTGCTCTTTTCCTAAGTCACATAGACAGCAGTATGAACTCTGCACCACATGCAAAGACACCTGAGCTCCTTTGTAATCCAGCGCACAGAAATGCCACACGCGCAGAATACGGTAGCATCTGGTAAGGTGGTCAGTAATGCTCTGGTGGAGGAAGAGGAGGACCCGAGTTCTTAATCTGCTTCTGTTATTAACTCTGGGATTTGGGGCAAATTGTAAAACGAACTGTAGTGACTGACCTTTTATAGGCCCCTGGCCTTCATTTAAATGCTATAAATTTGACCAATCTAAAAATGTATCAACGTGAGCCATACCAGATACCATTGTGTTGCTTATTACCATTGTTCTAAAATCTTTTGGTGAATGATTTTTAAAAAGCATTGCCTCAATTTAAAAAAATCATCTGGGGCCATGTTTCCCCTGT